ACACAAAAATCTATAGAGGAGATGATCAAGGGCCTGCTTCCCACAGGCCTAATGGGCCTTCAGTCTGAACACAGCTGATAAATATACAGAAATATTTCTTTTTTCCACTTAGGTCCTGGATATTTTCTTGCTCTGAATGTAGCTCATGCAGCATCTGATTCATTTTCATGCCTAGCTAAATGAAAAGACAACATTCCTGGCTATAATTTAGGGAAGTAAAGCCACAGGAAACAGAAACTTTTGGGGGAAAAAAAGAGTAAAAAGCCATGAACAATAGGCATTTAAACTTGGATTTGTTAAAAAAAAATTAAACTATTTTCAAAATCTGATGTTGACTCTAAAAATGTTTAAGGATACTACAAATGCTTACACAAGTATTATACAGGTAATATGGAATATGTTCTGAAAAAGATGCAGGTAAAAACCAATCATACTTACGATTTTAGGTTGAAGTGATTAAAGAAGCAATGGCAGTATAACAATGGATTTTTGATCCGTGACTACTACTTAAAATACCTGAAAAATGCATGGTAAGCCAAATCCTTTCATCACTTATATTTGCAGGTTCCCTCATCCAAGTTCCAAACGTTTGCGGTACAGTGACAAAGTGAACAGGACTTCCTATGGATGTTATGACACATTCTAAGGAGAAAAAAAAGCACATGTCCATGATCTGTGACACTAAAACAGCAAGCAGCACTTAGTCATGCTCTGTAGTAGGTTACCAGCTCTTTTTGAAGGACTGGAGGTTCTGTCTTCAGCTTTTCCAGCTGGGATGTCATCACTCGGTACACCTAGAGTTAAGCAAGAAAAGGTAAAACGTGTCATCTTTCTCAATTTGGCATGACAGATGTGCACATCAGTGACTCCACTAAAATAAAGGAATGGCAACTGGGATTTCATTTCCTCTGGGAAATAAAAAAGTTGGTCTGGTCAAAAATGAGATAAGAAAAGACTTGTTGTCACTTCTGCTAAGGAAATGAAATGCTCGGGCTGGTTTGTTTCCTTGAAGTTGTCAGGCTGACAGTCAGCTTTGAGGAGTAACTAATTAAATCAACAGATTTAATTCCTTAGCTGTGAATTTGTAAGTAGCTGCTTAGAACGACAGAGTTGCCCTTTTCCTTAGATAACTTTAGACAACGGAGGTAGCTGGCAAATTTAGCAGTAATACCAAAAACATTTTCTTAGGAATGAGTGGCTGCTCAACTCAAAGGCTTCCTGCCCAAATCCATACACCAGCAGAAAGGGTATGTGCTGTAGGCAACATGGAAAGTTTTGCTTGTGCTGTTAATGCAGCAATAAAGCACTAACACGTACACTGAGCATGTAATGCATAAGAATGCAGATCAGCCATCCATGCCACTAAAGGCTAAGAGAAATGATACATTATACTACTTACATGCATGAAATTGGTTCACATTAGAAACAAACACCTAGAAACATTTTTCCCTACCCCTCAACAATTGAAAGATTAACTGGTTGGATTTGCTCTTAGCATTTACTATGAAAACAATGCTTGAATTAAATTATTTATGGACCTTTTTCTATAAAGCCAGGTACCTCTTCTGCCTTTAAAACAATGCAACACATTTCATAACCACAGAAAACAGTTCTCAGCTCTTTGCTAAAGATATCCTGATTTCATTGTAGCCTTATTTCTAATTCTATTCTTTTACCTTCTTACACATTTCACACTGCTTGGCATACAGGCTGCAAATTCTCTTAGACATTCATTTTTATTGTTGCCTTCCAATATATTTCTGGTATTTACTGGTCTGTGATGAAGTTTAAGCGAGAAAGATAGTCAAAATATGAAATAACTATAAAATAATGCTGAAAGGGTACCATGACATTCAGGAAAGACAGGACAGATTATACTGCATTGTTATTTTCTTCTTTAGGTTATATCCTCCCTTTGTTCATGCAGAAAAAAAATGCTCCAAAATGGAGCTAGAGCAACATGTATTTCTCCCACCCATTTATCTAGGGCATTCTGTGAAATTACATTGAAAGTTTGCAAGTGATCAGTGTATCTCCAAATAAGGCACAGTCAACCCAACCATGGGAAGCTGAATGCCTATAGCTAAAATCTACCAGTCCCTCTAGATCCCCTTTTCCAGCTTCTGATCTCAAAATATTGTCAGAATATCTCGAAAAAGGAGACCACTTGGCAGAAATCATAAATTGCAGCACACCAAGTAATTTTCTTGGGCTGAGTCTAATAGATGCAGTTGACTGAACAAGCAGTTCCCTGCACAGCAGTTTATCTAAGACAAGCAGCCAAGGAGCAGGTCAGTGTTTATTACAGCAGTTTATCTAAGACTATAGAGCAGCCAAGGAGCAGGTCAGTGTTTATAGCAAAGCTGAGTGCACTATTTGCATCTGAAAATACTTGCAATACTCTGAGGCCTTTGAGCTGCATGAATCAGAAAGTGACTAAGGTGAAAAAGACAGTTTTCAATCAGAGACCCATGGTAAATCTTTACTACTCTCTTTCCATCAAAAACAAGATCAATATTGTGCTGACTCCTATCATAAAATGCTCTGGTTGGAGTTAATGGCATTTACAAGACATTAGAACTATTGGTTCAGTCTGTTGGGGGAGGGTGGGAAGGTTGGAGCAAGGCAGTGCAGAGCAGAGATGTTTTCTTTCTATTAGAATTCACTAACAGTACCACTGAGAAAAAATACACCTGAGCTTCCAACTAATTATTCTTTTCTCTTGAAAGAATAAAGTTTTACCTGATTCAAAATTTAATTTGAAGAAGGCAGTCTTGTACTCTTATGTAATAAGCTAATTACAGTTATAAATCAGCACGTGTATTCTCTATCCCTTGAAATGGATATGAACATTTAATTACAAAAGCTGGTTTATTCTTTGATTTTTGGTAATAAGATGTCGTGGGTTACTGAGTCATAAAATATAAAAGCTCGTTGAGGAAGATCTCATCTTTGCAGAGTTATTTGAGTGTAACTCCCATTTGCACACTGCGATTCAAAATCCATCAGAAATCCATCAGATAGCTTATCCTCCAAAGCACTCCAGTCTGTTTCAACACTTGAAAAGAGGCCACCTGAGCAAATGGCCCAATTATCTCACACAACAGTTCATGCATTTCTGAACTTCAAATAGGATGAGATTTCTGCTGCAGCTCTCTACTTTCCATTGTAAGGAGAATCTCTAGACTCTATTCTGCTACTTCAATACACAGAATCAGGGTGTTATATTTACATGCGAAATTAAAAATTCAGGATTTAAAAGCCAAAAATTTCAACTGTATTTCTCTTACTCTCCAAATTTATCCCATCCACCAGAAAACACCATTTGTAAATACTTTCCCTGAGCATTAGCATAGCACAATTGAAAGATGAATATTGTACTGGAGGTAGCTTGCTGCCTTATTCAAACAAAACAGCTAAGCACGTGTTTGTGCAGTTTTATTCATGCCAACAATGTGTTCAGCTTTAAGTTTGTGCAGTTTTATTCATGCCAACAAAATCAAACACATACCTAATGATGTCTGAGACTTCAAGCAATGGTTTAATCTTGAACCTGTTCATAAGACAAAAAAGAACACTGGAAAGCACTGACCTGTGCATTTGCTGCTGTATATGTTCTCCTCAAGCTGTGCTTTAGCTTTACGTTTACGTTTCTGTGGAGGCCCTGGGGGGCCAGGTGGGCCAGGGGGCCCTGGTAGGCCAGGTTCACCTTTTGCACCTGTGTACAAAACAGAGTGTCATGTCCCAGGCCCTAAACAGGCAACAGGCAACCTGCAGAGAACTGTACTTGTCCATACCACAGACTTAGAGAGGTCTCTAAAAGAGCCTCTCTCTTTCTAATGAGTTTTCTGAGTACAGAAATGTGGTGCAGTAAACTCACTGGAATGTTGTTTGTTAGAAGGTGAACCACACAGAATGTCACAAGGTGTGGGGCATCAATGCATTTTATCTGTCAGGATTACAGGCACATTGGAGAGTTGTAAAGCACTGCTGCCTTTTACTTCCTCTATTCTAAGGCCTCAACTTCAGATGCTACACCGCAGTAATTTTGCAGAGCTTATATTTGGTTGCTACATGTATTCCTCAGTGGACATCTGCCCCTCATTTTCTAATAGAAAAGTAAAACTACACTGAAAGAAAGAGCAGGAGGATGTCAACTGAAGTGTATTGGAAAGTTTTGTGATGATTTTCATTACAAGAGAACAACCTCCTGGGCACGGCAATACTCAAACTTTGCTGTGTACATGTGCCATGTTTATACTGGCTGGTCCTGCTCTTGCAGATCACATTCGTGCTCCAGAAGTGGAGCATATCTTTTTCTGTCAAGTACACTTAGCAAAACAACTCCCAACAGCACTTCTTACCTTCTAGTATCACATCATTGTTTGCATCCCCCTTTTCCCCCTTGGCTCCTCTTGCACCTTTTCCCCCTGGCATACCATCCTTGCCAGGTAAACCCATTTCTCCAGGTTCTCCTTTCTGTCCTTGATCACCTTTTGGTCCTGGCACACCTAGAAATAAAAAGCATTTCAGTACCAAAAGCACTGCTCTAGTATTAAGCACAATCAATATTTTTCTTTACTACAAACCATATTCACTCTAGTTACTTTTCACACCTGCATCTAGCTAAGCAGCTGTAATTTGTTTGGATTTCAAAGCAACTTTGTAACCTATTATGAAGCGAAACTGTATGCAACCTTGTCTGCTGCAAAAAATACTCCACATAGCTATCTCTGAGTTTTGAACATGAAACATACAGACCAGGGCCTCGCTAACACTGGCTGGAGAATTTCTGGGTAAATAGGAATACTATGGGAAGATGTGAAGGAATATATTTATTTCATATGTGTAAGACATTGAAGAAAGATTTTCATGATTTTTTTAGGCTTTTTCTTAAGGTCATTTCACACTAACATTACAACATGTGTTGATACATTGCACTCTTAATTTTTTCCACTGTCTCAACAGAGCATAGATATAGATGCCTAGTAATGTTTTCACTCTACTCTTGTGAGAAGTATGCTTAGTCCACATACTGTTTGCACTTGATCATTCAGTAAAGAACATATTTAACAAGGTATTCCTTTGCCCTGTGTGATTTAGTTGTGCACTAAGAAAAAGAACAGTGCATTTGTATGACATCCAAACCCTCCATCCTCTCCTTTTGTGGCAGTTACTATTTTCTTGCTTTTAGGAGGGAGAAAAGTAACAGTTGTACAAAGAGAAATGTCAGTGTTCTTGCAGGCATCAGTTTCAAGTAAACTACATTTGTAATGCTTGAGAGGAAAATGCTCATTTTTCTACTAGTATGGTTTTACTATTGAAATGGATTTTGTGAAATCAGAAACAGAATTACAGTTTTGGGGTGAAATCCAAAATGGAAATACTCTTACAACAACAGTAATTACTAGTGAGGTCAGAACACTGACATTCAATTAAGTGCCTTCAATAACTTTAATGTGCAATATTATGCAGTGTATGTATACCTTCTTCCTCACTGGAGAGTAAGCCTGAAGTAATATAAGACAATTAATATAAGACAATTATATAAGACAATTAATATAAGACAATTAATGTTGCAGAATTCCATAACATGCAACTTCTTTGTAAACTTTGAAACTCTTCTCCCTGTACAAAGGCCTGCAAATAATTGTTTCTGAATACAACAGTAAGAAAGGATTATGTTTCTAAATAACCATTAAAAATACCTATTTTTCCTCTTTTTCCATTTATTCCTGGTTCTCCCTTTTGCCCTGGTATGCCAGGGAGTCCATCTGATCCATTGTAGCCTGGCAGTCCATCAAGTCCAGGAGGCCCTAATCAAACCAAACAGCATAACTCAATTTTCGTTGTTAAATACAAATTATCCTTATAACTACTACATTTACATGCAGTATATTTATATGTATATTTGAACCCTGGCAAAACATAACTCATACTTTTCTGATACAGAGAATTACTCGAAGCAGACCCACAGGTAAAGCAGCACAGAAAGCAAGTAACCATTCATACAGCCTTGCAACCACACGAGTGAGAACACAGAGGATGAAATGAGAAAGGAGGAAAAGTTATGGGAGAGGTGGGAAGGTGTAACCAGTAACCAATATTTTGTAAAGAGTTGTTTTTACTGTTAAGTTATAAAATCCATTTACTCAGGAGGTTTAAATATATAGACTCATCTCTTCAGCTAAATGCTATTTAAGTACTCTTAATTCCATTTGGGTTGATCAAATATTCTACTTCCTCCACTAGAAAATTCTAACATCTAAAAGCTGCCCCTTTCAGAAGGGGCACAAACTGACCGATATAAAAAAACTATCAAGGCAGGCAGTCATTCAACCCTCCCTCATTCTGGTTAGCAAAGGAAAACTATGCTGTGAAACATACATTTGTACATTTTGTACAAGCAACATTTCAATTACCCCAAAATATTACTGCAATTGTCCAAATATCTTACCTGGGGGACCTGCGGGGCCTATAGCAAGAGAAAACAAAAGCACAAGAAAGAAGAAATGGTGAGTTTAACAAGAAAACAAAAAGCAATTCCAAACAGAACTCATTAGCATTAGGTCAGAACAGTAAAAGGGGAGGAAATCCCCTCAAATTTCAAAATGAACACCTATTTATCTGTTTGTATGATAAATAACTATAGCGAGCAGTAGGTCAGACTTTGTAAAGAGTATCTTTAAACACAATTACATATTTTGCTTTTCTTAAATTTCCATAGATAGAGGTTTGACAATCACCTCTGCAATGGATCTCACTGTCAGGGACTTAGGTGCTGCCACAGAGCCATGGTTACAAGGCACCCAGCACTCATTGCATTTCCTTTATAACAATGTTCTCCAAAAGTCTGTTAGAGTAGAAGAATAATAGCTTTACAATACTGACCAATGTCAAAAATCCCATTGAAAACACACATTAAAAATACCTGCCACACTTAGCTGTGTTTCACAGATACTCCTTTGCAGTTCACAGTTCAGACTACTTAAATAGGGGGGAGAAAAGTCTTGTTATTCCTATTAACTGCATCTAAATCACAATCAGGCTTCTCATATCCAAACGTTCTCCCGACTGGACTGAGCTTCCCACAGAACCTGGTTGGTGCATTAGAAATTAGGCTTGCTTCAGTTATTCAGCAACATGGAACACAATAAAATCTGTCTCACTCTCTCTGACTGAGCTCAAATATAGAGTCTTAATGAGAAGGAAGCATAGAAGGCAAGAGTAAAGCAAGATTTAACCAGAAAATATTTCTGATGTTTCTGCAACAAGATTTATCTTCTGTGATCGCCAATACACATTCAAAAAATACTTTATAAAAAAAGGAAAAAAAGGAAAAGCATTAGGATAGTTCAGAGAAAGGTGTCACTTTCAATTAAAGAGCCAAATTAGATCTGTGAACATTTTTATCCAGCCAAAGTACTGTCTTGTTTCAACAAAACTCTCTACAAGAGAAAATCACAGTAATTACTAGATTTCCCTAAAGATGACAATTTTCAGCATTAATTACAAAGCATTATGAGTAAAGTGAAAACCATTTTACAATACCATTCCAGCAATTATCCCTTTTAATCAGTACAGGCAGTAACATCAGTTAACAACTTTCTGCCAGGTTTCCGTTAAATGGCTAGTTTTTCCCCACTACAATGTTACATCCATTAGTGAATTCCATTCCTTCCTCATCCCAGAAAATGAGGCTCCTTGGATAAGCATAAGATAAACAGGAAAGATGCTTGAAAAGCAGCAAATGTCACTGAGGCCTATAGCAGAGAAAGCCACTCATTTCATGGTGTTAAGAGAGGAAAAGGTACAGAAGGCACCAAGTAGCATGAATTCACAAGTCTGATCCCCAAAACCCCAAACTTTCAGACTGTCTGTGGTTCAGCCTGTGTTGAAATCAGAACAGACCTACAACTTCAGAAGCAATATTTAACATCTGTGTGCACTATGGTAATTCTCATTTACATTGAATCAGTTGAGTCAAACGGACCTTATATTCATTTGAAAATTCAAACCAGATCGCAAGTAAAGCATTTTCTTTAATTCATAAAAACTGGCTTCTCTCTAATCTCCTACATTCCCAAAAGAACATGACTCATTCTGTGATAGACTCCAAAGATGGACTGTAGCTCTTAAACTGGCTACTCCCTGACATTCTCTTCATCAAACCTCATAGAAACTTCTCACAGCTCCTCTTGTCCTAGCCATCAGCCCTTCCAGCCCCTCACTGGTAACATGTGAGACATCCTGTAGCCATGGTCCAATGCAGCTGAGGCAAACAAGTTGCTGAACTGACTCCCACTGCTTCACTGCAGTTGCAACAATGGCAGCAAGTTTCCATACTCTGTACATTATCATAGAATCATAGAACCAACCAGGTTGGAAAAGACCTTCAAGATCATCTAGTCCAACCCTACCATGGTCACTAGAACATGTTCATCCCACGATAGGCTTGAAGAGTGGCATATACAAAAATATCATGACTAAACCTCAACTAGTATCTTAAGGACCCAAGTCTAAAAGATTGTTTATGAAGATGACATGGAAAAGAAATAGCTCCAAGTAACATTAGCTGATCTCCTTTAATTCCAGCATTTATATTAAGTAAGTACAGATAAATCCCAAGGGGCACCTATTATCTTTTCTAAAATTCTGACAGAGTGACTAGCATAGTTCTTTGACACATTATTTACCTTAAATTCTTTGAAAACTGTATTTCTGTATTCCTGAAGGTAGCGTAGGTGTAATAAACATACCTGTTAGGCATATCCCTTTTGTGCTGTTACATAAATCCACCATCACTCGGACCTAATTGCAAAGAAAGCAAAGTTGAAAACAATGCATTTGATAAAAGTATCTGGTTCACTTTGCCTACAGAAATAATTTCAAAAATCAAAGATACAAGTGGCCACTCTGTCCTTATCAGAATAAGCTGTTTAGAACGATCTTAACGCTGTGACACCATCCATCTCTTCAGGCAGTGTTTCTCTCACAGGAATCTGTTCAATACACCTCATTTTAATCCTTACTGAAAATATGAAAAAAAATTGGGCACACATCATCTAGTCATTAAATTTCACACATTGCTGTACAACATGTGTGGTTCTCCATGCATGGACTCTACCAGTGGAAGGTATTAAAGGCCAATATCAACCAATAAAATAAAATTCAATTTTATTTTATATTCATATCAAATGAAACTTTTCCAACATAGCATATCCAGGGAGAAAAATTACCTATGTTCCAAGAAAATGATTTCTTATCTCTGAAAAACCAAGATCTGAAAATCCGAAATGGACTTTCATCCATTCAAAATACTTCATTGCTACAATGACAGACTTACAAAACCAAGCTGGAACACACAGTCATAGAGCTGCTTTTAATCTAGATAGACTAACATTTATCAATTAAAAAGTCATCTTTACAAAATACACAGTTCTTGGCTGGGCAAACATTCACATTACATGTTCTGCATGCTGAGAGTCAACACTCTAAAATGTTTTGCAACTCATCAAAACAACCAGCAGAAATAAGAGTATTATGAATTTGAGCACTGAAAGTGCCTCAGCTCTTTATGGGAATGTCTAATGTTTATAGCCAGAAAAGAAAAAGGTCGTTATTTCACAGCTGTGCAATGTGATAATTTATGAACCATTTACCCAGAGCTGCACATTTATTCATCTTTGTACAATTACTCTATTTACAAATAACAGAATGCACTAGTCCCAAAAGGCAGAACAAACAAGTACAAGGCAATCTGAAAGGCAGATTGAAGTTTTGCCCTAGCAAGGTTATTTGCCACTGTCAATCATTATTTTTAAAATGAATGCCTCATTAGTTTCAACTGACAAATCTAACAGACTCAAATAAAGGACAATTCTTTTGATGGCAAGTATTCTCTTGCTGCAAAATCAAACCAGACTTGATAATGGATCCCTACATACTGAGAATGCACTGGAATCCAGACTGTACTGGAACAGCTCTTACATTTAGAATTTTAGACTCAATTTAAATTAGCTGAGAAGTGCTAACTGGTTTTGAATATCAGAATATGCTGGTTCTCTTTCCCCTCAAACCCCTCAAAAACACTTGGCTCCTACCCTGTAATTTGTAAAATACAGATTGTCCACGTGTACTCCAATTCTAACTGCATTTTAATTTAATAGTTCTGTTGAGGTTGCTGAAGTGATTACAGTTTGCTTTGGGGCCCTCCTATTATCTCAGCAGTGCTACTTTTACCAATCAGTACAACCCAGGTGACAATTAAAAAACATGGCACTCAAGAAGTACAAATAGCCTACAGCAGAACCCCCAGCTTAGCAATGAAAGATGAGCAGACTATTCAATCAGCCAGCATCATCACTAGGAAAAGCTACAGATAAAAGTATCTTATTTAAATGCTAAAAGCTTGGTTTTCTCATGAAGAAATGATTAAAAAAAAAGAAAGAGAAAAAAGAAAACCTAAAACTGTGAAGCAACTACTCAGATAATTACTAGCCACAGCAATCCACCATCTCTTGCACTGTCTTAAATTACACATTGAAATTTCCTGCACTGTTTCCCTCACATCAGTCTTTCTGCAGCAGCAGAATTACTAATTTTTACTCTCTTACAAAATAAATATATGTATACATAAATAGATAAACAATAGGCCCAGAACCAAGAATATTCTCATGTTATTAAGCTAAAGTATGATTTTTTGATGCCTAACATTAATTCAAAGATTCTTGAACAGTGGCCACAACTGATCTCTCCTGTCCAGTGGTTGTGCAGAGCAGTGGGACACTGATGCCTGTAGTACCTCATGGAATCACCAAGGCTGGAGGACACCTCTAAGATCATTAAGTCCAACCATTAATCTGCCACTCTGCTGTAAACCCTAAACCATATCCTCCAGTGCCAGATCCAAACCTCTCAAACACTGCCAGGGATGATGGCTCCACCACCTCCCTGGGTAATTTATTCCAATGCCTGAACACCCTAACAGGGAAAACATTTTTCCTAACAATCTTACTCTCCCCTCGTCTCAGCTCAAGGCCATTCCCTCTAGTCCTCTCATGCAGGCATGGCAGGAGCAACCATCCCCCACCTCTCTACAAACCCCTGTCAGGTAGTTGTAGAGACCCATGAGGTCATCCTTGAGCTGCCTCTTCTCAAGGCTATATTGGTGCCTGCAGAAATCAGTGCCTCCACTACAAGATAACCTGCTCCATTCAGGGCCCACATTCAACAGAGGCAGAAACATCATTCCAAGGCCCACCAAGGTACCAGGGTCATCTCACTAACTCTAAGGAACTTTGTCTCACACTACAAAAGTACTCAAGTCTTCAAATTACATTAGTGGGAGTTAGATTCAAAACACAGAAATGCAAGAGTGGGAGGAGGGAGTGCTTGAATAGTTTTCTAAGAACTTTTCTCCCCTTGAGCAAGTGAGTCTGCACACAGTTACACACTCTTCTGAGCAGCAGCCAGAATAGAAATTGTTTGATGGAAGTCTTGTAAGAACAAAAAGGCACAACCCTCCTCCACCCCCCTGCAACTCCCTGCAGGACACACACATTTAAACAAAGCACACTGCATACAACAGCAGTCACAGTGGACATTTAAATACACAAGTGCATAGTCTGGCCACATGCAGTCAAAATATATACCTTGTGCTTGGAGCTATTTGGAGAGTAATAAAATCCATGTAATCCATACATGGTACCTAATGACAGCAGAGTACCACATTTAACAGCCACTGTCAAAATTATCCAGACCATCCAACTGCCACTAACGACTCAAGTCTGAGCATCTAACAGTAAATGGCATTAACAGTGTTCAATCCCTGTCAGGATCAGAATCTTTTCTCCAATAATTTAATTTGTGGATCCTTTAGACTCAAAGCAATTCATATTAGATAGAACAAAATAAACTGTAGCTGCCAAACACAGGGTGATTTCTTAGAAGAAACAGGAAAAGGTATTGATTAAATGTTTTGATGAAAATCTTTACTGGTCCAGCAAATTTTTTAACATTATCTGACCCCTCAAAAAATCTGAAGAAAACACACAGGGTTTTTCTATTTTTTCTTGGTATATGTTTCTAGAAAGTAATTTAAAAGTTTTTGGATTAGAAATAATCTGAATTATAGTTCAAAAAATAATGATTTACATTCCACTTTCCTCTAAAATATTTTGTTTGGAGTTTTTTTCTGAATTGCCAAAGACTTGAAATGTGTAATATTCACGTTATTTTAAAGGCAATTTTGAGTACAAACGCATGTGATTTTAAGACTACAGAAAATTAAACTCTCTGGTAAGATGCACAGTGTTCATCAAAAGCTACTTTGGTAAGTGGAATTTAAAACTAGGACCAAATATCCAACATCTTTCAGTTTCACCTCTAGATAAAAAAAAGATATTCTTTGAATTGCAGGAGTCTTGCACTACAAATTCTAAACTCAAAGCACAAGGACTTAAAAGGCCTAGGTAAGAAAAACAATTATTCTAGACCCAAAAAAACATCATTATCAGAACTCTATGCTTTGAACACCTATGCTCTACAATCTCTCTAGCTCTAACATTAATGGAGATGTTATCACTGTAAAATGATGACTGCAATAATTTATTAACAGCAAATGCCAGCAGAACATTACTGAAGAGGTATTTTCTGTAAGTAATTTTTAAACCCAGTAATAGTAAGTACATGAGTAAGAGCCTGAGTTAGATTTTCCTGCTTTTTTTTAATGGGCCTAGGCCTGCAATCCTTTGTGAGACAGAATTTCCACTAAAGTTCCCTCAACAGTAATTTTTATTTTTGCATTTCTTCTGACTCAAAACCTAAAAGCTTTTCAATCTATCAAAAACTTGTCAACTATATGACCTGTGTAATTTTTCAATTACATGACCTAGTTCCTACTGAGCAAGAATCTTTTCACTGAAGTGCAGAAGACTACATTTTTGCCAGAGAAAAGACATACAGTTCTCCTGGCCCATCGAAGACTCCCTTACATTTAATACCTACTGAAAGGACATTATTAATTTCAAAGCAATGTCATGGCAAAGTGATGTCCTGTACCCCATGCTGAGATGCTGAACAGCAGAAAACACACAGAGGGTTCTGTTTCATAGTATAGCATGTTAAGGGGCTGGAATGGACCTTAGAGATCATTAGAGGTCCCAACCCCCTGCCCTGGGCAGGGACACCCCCACCAGAGCAGGATGCTCAAGGCTTTATCCAACCTGGCTGTGAACACTGCCAGGGTTGGGGCAGCCACAGGCTCCCTGTGCCAGTGTTTTACTACCACACTCCTGCAGCACTGAGATAGAGCCATCCAAACCAAACAGTCTTTGGGAATACAAAGATGACAAATTCCTTGTCATTTTAAGCTCTCCTGAAAGCTCCAGATACTGTAGGATCCTCCTCCCTCAGCACACTATAAAACCTCTTTCTTTCTCTACTAAGACTAAAGGCTTTTCACGGTGTTAGTGGTGTTAGTTTTAAAAACATGACCTCTTGGCAACTGGAAGGCTGACTTTTTATGGCAACTCGATTTCTGAAGTTTCATTAAATCCACAACTTCATTTGTCTGTGTCCCTCGTTTGTAAAGTCCAATGGTAACCTGTAAGGTTACCATTTAAAAGTTTTTGGATTAGAAATAATCTGAATTATAGTTCAAAAAATAATGATTTACATTCCACTTTCCCCAAAAATATTATGTTTGGAGTTTTTTTCTGAATTGTCAAAGACTTGACATTAAAGTCCAATGGTAACTTTACAGGTTACCAAGGTTACATATACCAAGAAAAAATGGAAAAAAC